ACAAGACCCCAAACAGATAAGCTAGGGATCTCACTTTGGTACTGGTTTCACATTCAGCTGGATGCATTAACCAGGCCTTGGTTGTCTGAAGTGGTTGTCCCAGCTTCAGAATCATAATGATCTAGGTCAGAGGGATTAAACTGCTTGACCTTGTGAATGACATACCTAATTCTTCATATGACTAGGAATGACAAAATCCACACCTCAGGGTAGGAACCTGTATTGTGTATCCCTGAGGCAGGGCTATTGGAGGGTGTTAGGGGCATGAGGAGACGACAGCTGCTGGCTGCTCACAGGCCAGCTGCCATGTAGTATAGTTGACCAGGTGCTAAGTCCTCAGACAGAGGTGGTACCAATTTTAGTAGCCTCTAGTTGTGTGTTTCATCTCACAGCAGGGGCTTCAGATTGTCGGATAAAAAACTTCACACTAATACAGGACTGGTTAAGTCACTCAGCAGAGCTCTGCCTGGGGACATGCACTCAGAAGTACTCTCAAACCAGAGTGCAAGCACCAAACTTAGGTCAAGGATAATCTTAATGATATGACATGCAAAACTCCATAATCCATTCTTCTTGAACTTCAAGTCTGTTGGGACTGCATACTTGCAGTTTAGCACATGGCTTTGGCTGTTCCAACGGATTTGAACAACTGAGACTGCTGTGTAGAATTTTTCATACATCACATTGAATCTCTAGCCCATAACAGAACAAGAGATCTTCCTAGAGCCTTGCCTGTCTGCCAGTGGAGGCAATAAGTTTGCCCTTCAGGGGAAAATTAATATTACTGGTGCAAAATGTGAGTTACCTTCTTCCCCCTCTTCATTAAACATGCCCAACCAAATATATCCCTGATATATACTGCTTTAAGACAGGAAGGAATTAAAACTCCTGTTCTTGCCAAATGATTGAGTGCTTGCAGACACAGATTCCTAAGAAAGTATAATAGAGAAAATACATTAGCAGAGTATTTGTGCCTTCATAGGAAATGAATATGGATGTAATTAAGAAAAGCTGATTTATGTGGAACTGTAAAACTAGGGACATAAAATGAAAAATTCTCTGTAAATGTCAAGTCAGTGTTTTGTGGTGGCCAAAACAAGGCACGTAGAGTATTGCAATGGTATTAGGAAAGGAACTGAAAAACTAAAATGCCACTGTAAATTCCTAGTACATGAATATTTAAGACATTGTATGGAGTTCTAGGCATTGATCTCTGAACATTATAGTAGAACTATTGTTCTACTATAGTCTGCTACTAACATTTTGAGAATATCAATGTGTGGTGTGTCTTCTTGTCTGAGGAAATTAAAAAGACAAGACTGAGTATGATGAGAGCATAAGGAGGGTTTATAAAATAATAGGAAAAGGCAAATGGGAAACAATAAAGAGGGAACATAGAATACTAGAATCATAGAATGGTTTGATTTGGAAGGGACCTTAAAAATCTTGTGGTTCCAACCCCCCTGCCATGGGCAGGGACATCTTCCACTAGACCAGGTTGCTGAAAGCCCCATCCAGGCTGGCCTTGAACACTGCCAGGGATGGGGCATCCACAACTTCTCTGGGCAAACTGTTCCACTGTCTCACCATCCTCACAGTAAAGAATTTCTTCCTTATATCTAGTCTAAATCTACCCTCTTTCAGTTTAAAACCATTACCCCTCGTGCTAACACTACAACCCCTGATGAAGAGTCCCTCCCCATCTTTCCTGTAGGTCCCTTTTAAGTACTGCAAGGCTGCTAGAAGGTCTCCCCAGAGCCACCTCTCCTCTAGGCTAAACAACCCCAACTCTCTCAGTCCGTCCTCATATGGGAGGTGCTCCAGCCCCCTGATCGTCTTTGTGGCCCTCCTCTGGACTTGCTTGAGCAGGTCCATGTCTTTTTTTCCAGGGGGGCCCAGAGCTGGATGCAGTACTTCAGGTGGGTTCTCACCAGAGTGGTGTAGAGGGGCAGAATTACCTCTCTTGACCTGCTGGTCACGCTGCTTTTGATGCAGCCCAGGATGTATTTGGCCTTCTGGGCTGTGAGTGCACATTGCTGGGTCATATTCAGTTTTTTAATCCACCAATACCTTCCAAGTCACTCTCCACAGGGCTGCTCTCAATCTATTGATTTAGAACATGTGATGAACTTACTAGGCAGCAAGTTTAAAATAAACAAAAGAAAGTAATTCACAAAATACATGTATTAAAGTTGAACTCATTGCTGGAGAAGCCAGAACCTTTAAATGGATTAAAAAAGCAATCAAATCCTTAGAAAACACAAGGAACCACTTAAAGGTCCAGATCTTCTTGACCTCTGGCTCTGAAAGACCCTGTATTACTGACTGTTGGTGTATTTGGGCAAAGATCTTACTAGCCATGTTTCTTACTGGCTTTCATTCTGCATCCATTGTTGAGCACTATAAGAGATAGTATGGCCATTGCTGCATAACCTCCTTCTTACATAATAAGTCATTCTTCCCCTACAATACATATTCTTTTAAATTTTTTGGGTTTATGTTAAGAATTTACATGGGTGGTCTCCAAATACAAAGAGGTTTAATTAACAAACTCTTGGAGTTACTTAAATTTGTTCTCAGCTTCTTTTAAAAGTTTAAGTAGCACTAAGTGATAGCTATTTCATCCCATTATTTGCTAAAAAGATACTAGCTTTATTAAAGAAGGACCTATATTAGAGCTCTGAACACTGGTTACTGTATTATAATATTTACTTTTCATGCACTCTCACAACAGTGCATGTAAGAGAAAAGGTCAGTGAACACATGCAGCCTTAGTGCTTGCTTTTGCAATGTTTTCCTATGTACAGAACACTGTGCAAGTACTGGTGAGGCTCTACGGTGCCAGATCCAAGTGCTCAAAGACAGGGGATACTTTAGAACCAGATGTTTTTAGTCACCTCAGTGGAGAAAGTCATTGGAAAGAAAGTACTGCAGGCGGAGATGTGGGAAAGGATGAAAGGAGAGGTGATTTAGGCCAGTTCTGGGCAAAGATTCTGGTTTTTTCTAAGTCAACATTAACAGCATACTATTTCATGATGTATGTTCTTAGTTCTGCTACTTTCCACGGGATCCATGTATTAGTTCCTTTCAGTAGTGGTTTCTACAAGTAGCTTGGTGCAGGCTGCTGAAATCAGTTTCACTCTTAGGACCTTTTCTTGTTTCAAGAAGTATTGTAGAGTGTCGACTTGTGCCCTGATGCTTTCATTTCTTTATAGCACTTCTTGATAACTTAAATACCATTACTTTTAAGCATAATAAGAAATACTACCTATTTTTCTAAAAACTGAATATAGCCCAGTGACATGTCAAACTTTCACATACTGGAGCACACAAGAGAGTGTATGATGATCCTAATTTATATATAAAAGCACCTTCCTCCAAGAATGATCTTATTAATACATAAATGACATTTACCGGGTAATTTTCATAATGAAAAAGTAGGTATTTACATTCTAAAAGCTAAACCCTAATTCACAGCAATTAGACCATGAATAACTAATATAATGGACTTTAGTTATATATCATTACATAAAAGTCTGAGAAAAATACGATCTTGTTGAGGCTCAATTTGTAGTCTAGCTAATGGTTTTCAGTAGTATGTAAATTTGAATAAACATCTAAAAACTCACTATTTGGTCATTAAAAGCTTTGTACCTATTTTCAACTTAAAATGTTGATTTAGCCGTGAAACCTCCAAATGAAACATAAATAAATGAAACCTATTCACTGGACATTTCAGTGGCCCTTTAGACCCAGAAATTTATTTCTGCATATATTAGTAGATCTGATTAGCCTGCACCAAATGAAATTATATATAATTTGCTGGAAAAGCACAGGCAAATGTCACAAAATGTACAGTTAAATCACCGTAATCCAGTTACACGTAGATTCAAAACCTACAGCTACATTTTTTATTATTTTAAGGCAAATTAAATAGGAAATATTTGCTCTGGATAGTCAGAAAAGGAGAAAAATACAAGAATCTGTACAACTTCACTAAAGAACAAAGGAATATCTCTAAAGCAGTCCACTAGAAAATAAGTTTTTGTTGTAAAGTTCTGTTTAATTATTTTTGTTACCAAGTGTGATAAATAACTATCTGAAATATGAATTTATCATTTATCTACAGCTTTTCTAAAATTTTATTCTAGTATTAAACAACTCTATCTAGTGTACTAAAGGAATGCAGACAAACACAAGCCAAATAGGCGTAATTGTTAAGACACTTGTTGCTTCTTCTGTCCTACCATTAATATTCTGATACAGGTATCCACAGCACTACCCTTCCCTCCCCCGCCCAATGAGGACATATTTTTCTATCTATATCTAAAAAGCTGTTATCAGAACAATTTCATCCTCCTGCTTACTTCTCCCCTCCCTCCCCACAAGTGCATATTTGATTGCAAAGGCTTCCTAATTTCTGAGTTGTGGCTATACCAAACCATGGAACAAAAAATAGTGTTACTCTCTGCATTTCATTAATCAGGATCTGGAATAAATACAGATTTTACATTGCAAATTGTTATTTGACATAAGAAAGATTGCTCTAAGATCTTCAGTGAGGTGAATGGGGTCTTCTGTCCCCCTGAAGTTGGGTGAGATGTCATACTCCTGTTTTATATATTCGAAAAATGTTTAGTTGCTAAAGAAAATAGGAAAAGGGAATAATCTGTTTCTGGACAAACACACAGAATACAAAACTATTCCATACATACAATTCTCTTTCTTATCCAAAGAATACTCCTTCTTTCTGGTCTAGGAACAATTTTTGAAAGAACAAATCACTGTACTTATCTGTATTCCCTCTGAAACTACTCAAGCTATTATCAGTTCTGTAGAAACTGTTCTATAGATCTGCATTAAGATACATGTATATATGCGCTGAGGAAAGAAAGGGAACTAATTGGTATATATTTAAAATAATATCTGCAAACCACAGAACAAAGATAAGACAAATTCTGTAATGTTTTTATGTCCTTGCTTGTCTTTATTTCAAAATCATCTTTACTTTCTGCTGAATAATGATTCATTTCTAAATGCAAAAGATCATTTAGCTTTGTGTTCTTTATTAAGACTTCGTTATTTTTACAAAAATAGAATAGAGCATTAGTCTTTATTAGTTTTTAGTTTAATATACAGTTCATTTATTTTGAAAGGAGCATTTTGGGATACAATATATTTAGTTTATTATTGGTGGTTCATTTAATTGTTAGTTTATAGCAGGTCTTCTGGTCACCACACAAATTATCAAGCTTCTGCTATTATATATTAAAAACCACACAGGTCAGAAAATGTTTTTCAAAAAAAGTTAATTTAGGAATAAACTGTCATGTTGTAGCAAACAAGGTCAAGAGTCCCTTTAAGAAGGAGACTATTTCATTGCCTCCCAGTTTAGATTCTCCATAGACACGGTCCACAAATGAAATAGGAACCTGTTGAAACAAGCAAAACTATTTTTAAGGTTCAAAACCTAAATAATCAGATATTCTGTAAACAAAAGAATGCCCTTTGAACGACAGCATGTTTAGACATGAGATGAAGGCAAGCACCAGATCAGCTTGCTTTGTGTCAGTTCTTCTTACCAGAGGCTTTAATGATGCCCCATAGCTGGAAAGCATGAAATTACTTGGTTTATCACCTTTAAAGATGATCCAAAGACATTACTCAGTGGCTGGCTGATACACCAGTCAGAACAAACTTTATAGCTTAAATGTGCTAAAAGCCTAGGGCCTTAAAATGAACCTTCACCACTTTCCTTGTTAGGTAAATTCAGTACCTTTGAGTCAATGTCTCAGGAAGGCAAAAATCTCCTGTGACCATGAAACAGCATTCTCATCAACCTCATCACTGGCTAGAAGATGACATCTGAATAATGGCAGTTAGTGCATATTTTACAAGCAATACCTGTCTTTGACCATTTTATAGACTATTTACAGGATTAAAGTGCATTTAAAGCACTAATTTTGGTTTCCTTACTTAAGTGATCATACTGTCCAGATTAACTCGCTACTCATAAAACAGTAGGAACCTACAGTAATTTGACCACCTACAAATGACATACAACAGGACATTCTGCCAACACCGTATTAGAGTATTCAAGAATTTCCATATAAGTTTGTGTGCAAAATTGAAATACTTCAGGGGCTAAAATAAAGAATTGCATTTGCAAAAGTCATTAAAAAATTGGCTTAGCGTTCTGCTGGCAGTTTCAGCCAGAAATCTTCTGGCAAGTGGAACACAAAAATCACCACGCCCTTGCATCTGTGCCAAGACTGAGGATTTCTCACAATTCTAGCACATCAGTCCATGGTATAAAAGAACCTAGGGCAAGAAGACAGTAAGGAAGATACCTAAAAAGGCATGCAGATAGACTCAACAATGACTCCAGTAGAGTCCCTTTCTTAGTAGAGTCCCTTTTGATGATCCCAGTAAGCATCCTGGCAACTACAGACAGCTGATCTACAGGGCGTGGAGAGAAATCACTGAATTGCCAGTGCAGAATGTCAGAAGTGACATTTCTTGACCAGTGATGAAAGAATGGTTAATATTTCATGCAACAAAAACTATCCAGTCTTTCCCTTCAGTATTAGAATTAACTACCTGTGTTGTTGCTGGACTTTGCCTTTCTTGCATAAGTTCTATCATTCGTCTTAAAGGAAGCATCTTCCAAAGGGTGTATTCCACTCACTGTGGAATGTTTCATAAATGGTAAAGACGTACAGCAAAATGAAACAGAGATGCATACAAGACTATTCAGGTATAGTTTGTGTCAGTTCATCTCATCATCCATTTGTTCCTTTTAGACTGGCAGGTCTCAGTCTTCGCTTTCCATTTTGCTTAAGAAACATTTTACCCTCGCAACTGTACCTTCATTTTACAACTGCATAAAAACTCCAATTCTGCCTGTAGAGTTGCAGCACCCCCAAATCAGGAATGAGACATGCAAGTGTCAGCTCTTCTGAAATTTTGGTATTACTGTTTGGGTAATTATAAAATATAAAAAGATCCTAAACATTGATCAGGAAATACTGTATCAATGTACTTGAAACATAACGGAAAATTGTCCTGTCCCAGGAGGTTACAATATAGACATGATACACAGAACAGTAAAAATACAATAGTCTTATTTATAGGTCTATGTCAGCAACCTGAACGCTGTCAAGCTTGTTACAGATATCACAACAGAAATCCTGAAGACAAGGCCGAAGCAGAATAATCAAGCAACTTTTCAGATGTTAGAGAGAGCACCTTCCCACATGCGAGATGCCAAAGGAGGAGGGAAGGTGATGCCTACTTGAGAATGTAACAGATGAATCGTGGAGGATGGCCTAACTGACCCATCACAAAACAGCCCATGTCTCAAGACTGACTGGGAAAAATCAGGCCTAGTGAAGACTGCCCATCAGGCTTTGAACAAGATGACAAATATCTAATACTTGATGCTATACAACCAGTAGAGGCACGTAAATAAATGAGTGGTGGGATCAAGTAATAGAGAGAAAAAAGGTCTTTGCAGCAGCAGCCTGAAGAGTTGTAAGGAACCCAAGATTACATTTTTTTAAAAGCCAGAGAAGTGTATTTTGCAGTTTTAAAAATGTATAGTAAATAAAACTTCATCTCATCCTGGGTTTCAGTATCTGGATGTATAGACAGCTGAGGATTTAATTCAGCAATATTAGAAAGCAATACGTGAATGCAGCTGGATGTGAAGACCAAAGAAATTAGGGTTAAACCCCAGCTATAGACAGGATAGTGATGTTGCTCCATAAGCAAGAAAGATGGAAGAAAAGAGCTTGCTTTGTTGTGTGGAAATACTCCACCCGATGTTCATAGAGAAGTGTAATACATAAGGTTTAAAGAGGGAAGGACCAGCAACAGAATTCTCTGACAATTCACAGTCATGAAAACGATGAGGAACAACTGGTTCTGAGATTTGGCTGCAGAGAATTCCAGTGAATTGTCTTTAAAGAGACCAGCAAGAGCAATTCAATGAAATATGAGAGGCAGCAATCAGACTGCTGGAAATACAGGATCTAACATGTGGAGTTCTTTTTCAATGAGCATAGACAGCACATTCAAAGAGTTTAGAAGTGTAAAGTTGTGGTAGCTGGAAAGTTGGAAAATAACCAGGCAATAAATGACAGAACAGAATAACTCTGAAATAGAATCAGGCTGCTGGAGAAAATAAAATTATTTGAAAAGACCTAACTAGAGATGTCTGTACAATATGAAAGGAGGAAAGAAAAGGCTCAGAGCAGCTTCATGGTGTATTTTGACTTCTTTCCCTCCTTTGAAGAACCTTGTAAAATTGTATACATCTCAAGAAATGGCAACAAGAGGAGGGAAGGATCTGAGAAGTATTTCAGCCAGGGGAATAAGTAACTGGAATTTCAGATGTGGTATTCACCTGGAAAAGTTGGAAAAAGTGAGTTCTACATATGTAATTTCTTTATATTAATTTGAAAATCTTGCTGCTTCTTGGAAGCACACAAAATTTCCAATGTTCCCAGTAACCGGTATCTACATTTAAATGAAAGCACAATATACTTATCAAAACTTCTACTGTACCTCTCCAATAGTATATCCTAACTGTCTAGCCCGAACAATCATCTCCATCTGGAAGACGTATCCTTTAGAAACACATTTTTCCATTAGTTTCTCTAAGACTTCTTTTCTGTATAACCTGTAAACGATTACAAAGAAAATGAAACTTGAAGCACAATTTCTGAACTTTGGAAATCAAGATAGTGTGTAGGAATCATAACTGTAATCCCTCACTCATATCATTACTATTTAAAAAATCTTTAACAAAGCCATAAGAGCAACAGTTCTAGTCTACTATTTCTTTCCAAACAGATTTCACAGTCCTCAGTAAAAAAGGTCTGTTCTTTCTTACTCCAGTTCCTTGTTCAGCAGTTTCTTAATTTCAAATAAACTTTATGAATTGCAAACCAGACCCATACCTGAAACTCCCTGTTAAGTCTGATGCACCTGGTCTCAGCAAAACCTGAGTTATAAAATTGGCACCACGACTGTGGAAGAAAACATGAATGTCAAAATTGCTCAGTACACGATTCCAAAAAGATCAAACAGAATTTCTATAAAATAAGTATCATCCTACTAGCAAAAGAAAAAGAAACCTTTTATTGGTTATTATGAGGCAATTATATTCCTATTATGTTTTCACTGCTAGATTTGACTGATAAATCATAGAGTCATACAATCTTGAAATCAAAACCCAACATTTTATTCTTTCAAATGTGGTTGATTAGTAGATTATTGAACTTCTCTATGAAGGAGAAAACAATGATTTTCAGAAATTAGGTTTATAATCTGGTTCTTTATGGTAGAACTGTCAGTGCAACTACACACTAATACAATACAAAAGAAATAAATTTGACAACAGTCAAACCAACTTTTTTTTTGTAACTAACATTCACTGTAAGCGGAGAATAAAAATGCTTCCTGGACAAATGTGAGACTTTGATTTAGAAAATCAAGGTTCAGTTTTGGTTTACACTGCTTTCATAGTATGATAAGGGTAAGCTCCACTGATGAAAAACGTTGAGAGACCAAAAAACCAGTCATGACTATCTTGCTGAGGGCTGTATTACACACTGATAAGATGTGCAAGTCTTTCACCTTGTCCAGTATGGTACAAAAGGATTCCTCTGTAATGTCCATTTAGCTCTCTTCCTTTTTTTGGGTGTATATTTTGTTTAGATTCACAAAAAGATGTGCACTTATTCCAGACATTAAGAAACAGGAGAAACCAAAGACAGTCCCTGTGACACCATCTCCAGATCAGACTGGTAACACAACTTCTGCTCCTAATACTTTACAGTAACATCTAAATCAGCATTAACTTATGCCTGTTCTCTTAAATCAGGTGTAAGAAAGACTATGCAGAAACTTGTCGATTACCTCCTCAAAATCTGTAAGTCCCTCTGAACCTGAGATGCCAGCCTCCATATGCTTATATACCCTTGATAGAGTTTTCCTCTTTGCTTTTGGGTGAAACCTCTCCCTAGTGTTCACTGTAACTGTTTTCCAGTAAGGTCTAACTAATGATTTATTGATATTGACTGTGCCGGATAATTCTTAACCTATGACAAATCAGAGTGTCAACAGAGGGGTTTAACAAGTGTTTTACTGTTTAAGGAAAGGCCCATCACAGCTGTGAAAGCTAATTGTCTTTGAAACTTGACAAAAGCATTCTTTGCATGATGAAGCTGAAAGACTGTCCCAACCTGATGCCATGCAGATTTGTCCACAGTTCCAACCCATTTCTCAAGCCTAGTCATATCATTACATTCTTTCTTGTGGATTCTAACCAAAGAATCTGCAAATCATGCATGCTTCTATTATTTAATATAATTCTGCAGTACCCAGTACTATTGACTAAAGACTCAGTTCAGCTCACAGAGAGTTGAGTATTTGCAATTATTTCTAAATAACAAATTTATGTGTAAATACCTAGAAGAATACTAACCTGATTAATTTTCTTTTCAAATCCCAGCCATATACTCCTCCGTTTCCTTTATATCTTGTTCCAGATACAATATCAAAATTGCCTTCTTTCTGCTTTCTATAAACAATTGGTTTTATCAGAAAAAACAGGAGGAATATTTGTATGAAGGTAGTACAAATTTCAAAATAAGAACAATCACTCTTTTAGTACAAAATCTGTGTTTTACAAACCTTTGAAGAAATAAGTAGAGAAGAGAGGAAAGCAGTAGTTACAGTGGTTATAAGCATTATGTATTTAAAAACATGTTAATTGTTGTCTTAGAGCTATTCCAGGGAATCTTACATGATTATCTTTTACCAACTATGTCATAGAATTTTATAGAGGACTCCATAAATAATTGACTTAGGCATTTTTAAAGCCTCTTTCTAGTATAAAAGACAGAATGATTTTAAATACATATTTAAGTATTTAAATTACACAAACCCATAGTAAGGAAAAAAAAAAATTCTGGAACTATCCTTAGTCCATAACATGCCTGACTGCTGCAGAACCTTATCTAAAATTTTAGGCCTCCAACCCAGCCTGCTGCCCTTAGTGTCCAACATATAATGCCTGTTGACCATTTCTCACAAACCGAAATATTACAGGGAGAGGAAGGTATGAGGTAGACAAAAGGCAGACAAAAGCATTTCACCCATAATTGAGGACATATTGAGTCCTCCAATCAATATCCCTACATGCACACATGATAAAATGATTAGAAGATGACATTTATATTTATGCTTTTCAAAGCCGGAACAACCATTATAAGGAAGAGAAGTACTTAGACACACATGCTCTTTGTTACTTTAAACTTGGGGATTTTTGCTCTAGTTAGGAACTATTATTTTTTCTGGATTATTTTGGGACAAATCAAATGAGGTCCAGTCACTTTTTACTTGAATTCCTGCCTTGCCAATTTTCTTACTACAGCTAGACAGCCATATAAGAACGTAAAGCTTTCAAATATTAATACAAAACAATAAATGTTCAGAAGTCATTCTTTCATACTACGATCGGCACCTACCTGATAAACTCTGGAATAAATTTTGGCTGAAATGGAAGGAAAACAGATCAGAAAAGAAAAATTGCTGGGGGTAAAAAAAAAAAAAAAAATCAGTGAAAATTTAATTATAACAGATTAAAAACACAGTACATAAAATACAGACTTACATGGTGAGAGAGGTCAGCATCCATAATAACAATAAAATTCCCAGTGGCGTGCTTCATTCCATGAATATAAGCAGTGCCTAATGACAGTACAAAAATAATTTCCTTCACTATTTTAACATATGCAATCTTCTAGCCACAGTCTTCACTTATTTTCTAAAAACTCTAAGTTATACTAGAAAAGGATCAACTAAAAACTCCTAAAATTGATTTTTAAATATGCATCAGTGGTCAAATACTAAAATTATTTTTCCTTTTTCCTACAATATCAGCACTAGATTTTATAAATACAAATCTTGGCAAACCATACTGCACTAGAAATGCACAGGGAAACATGACTTGATAAGTGGGACACTTCTCCTCCTTGACACCATGGATTATATTCTGATACCTAATCTGAAGAAAGTCTTTTTTTTCTTTCTTTAGATTTTGTTGCGTTTTATTCACCCTGTATGAACTGGTGTAGCTACCTTGATAAGAGCTGGAACAAGTCTCCCTATTACAGTTTTCCTCAACAATGCAAATTTCTGATACAAGTCATATCGTTCAAGGACATCACTGCTTCCAAGAACAGTACAGTAGCAAAACAGACATTAAAAACGGGCATATACTCTTTGCTGATCCAAATTACTCTTGAGTCTTTCTCTTAATTTCATCAGGAATAGATAAAACTGAAACCAAAACACTCTCTTAACTGATGTCCTTAGCAGGCACCCTCACAGAAAACTAAACTCCTGGTTAATGAACAACGTGTCTTTCCTATGCTTTGGGACATGGTTTAGGGGGCATGGTGGTGTTGGGTTGATGGTTGGACTTGATAATCTCGAAGGTCCTTTCCAACCTTAAAGATTCTATGATTCTATTCTGTGATTCCTTTCTTTTCCAGGTTGTTTGCAAAGTTACAGAGTAGGAGAGTCACAGATATGTGTACTGTGCATGCATGATTAGTAGATATGGTACCTGAAAAATTTAAATTCAGTCAGTTTTAATCCATAATACTGGTCAAATTAGGACAAAGGATGAAAAGGCAGAAAACAGAAAAGCAAAGATATGTAGGCTCTTGGGAGTTTCTTAGAGAAAGAAATGTAGAAAAAAGTATGGAAAGTGATTTAAATAGACAATTCAGTATCAAAATTAGAATTTTATTTTTGTTCAGTGGACTGGAGAAATTAGTTAGCTGCAGTACTCAGTACACAAGACATGTCCAATGTTTTACCAGGACAAAGGATGAAAAGGCAGAAAACAGAAAAGTAAAGATATGTAGGCTCTTGGGAGTTTCTTAGAGAAAGAAATGTAGAAAAAAGTATGGAAAGTGATTTAAATAGACAATTCAGTATCAAAATTAGAATTTTATTTTTGTTCAGTGGACTGGAGAAATTAGTTAGCTGCAGTACTCAGTACACAAGACATGTCCAATGTTTTACCAGGACATGGAAGTGGGGGTTGCCAAGACATTTACCAAGAAAGGCAGATACTGATTAACAATAAATGAAACAAGGTATTGTATTTTATCATTTTCCCCATTCCTATTACAAGAGGGATAAGAATACAACATGAATCTTAACACATGGAAATCTCTCTGCTTTATTTTAGGATAGTTTCCATACTACAAGTTTTAATGCCGTTTATGACTTCCTATGGTATCTGCTTTTTTCTAAAGCAAATAATGACAAATTTTATTTACATATTCTGTGAAATATGGCATCAGAGCTATAGAATTGCAGTCCTGCATCATTCCATGCAAATTTTAATGATCAATCTCAGCAGTGCAAGACTGGCTCCCAAATTAGTGAGAGTAACTTTTACAATGTACTTCAAAGCCTTCAATTCACATGTTAGTTAGTGAGACAATACTTAGTAGTTTGAGTGTTGGACATCGGTCATATATGAATTGTTTTATTTAAAGTCATAATTCACACCAAAGTGGCCTTAACTGTGAAGAGCTCTGTCCAAGTAAGTGTCAGATAAAACATCCCATCTGTCTCTGGAGATTGCAGAAACTATGGTCCAATTCTTGAAGCACCCTGCACGTGAGTAGATTGCACAGAAAGCACCACTGTCCCCTCTGGATCAGTAGGTTCCACACAAATATAGCAGTTCCTCTGGTAGAAAGTTACATCTTTTCTCAATCTAGACCCCTCATTCTATAATAAATGAATGCAGTATGGGAGGGAGAGAGGCGGCATGATATTAACAGGAAAACAGAGTTGTAGAGAATTGCAGTCACCACAGTTTTCAGGTTTGAGGCTGTGGGGAACTTGTTATAAATACTCTGTGATTTTTGTGTGTGTGGTTTTTAAGCTTGTTCACTTACAAAAAACTTGATGAAAGCATATAATTCTGCTTTTGTGCTTTACGTGATTTTTTTGTGATTTTTTCTGTAACTTTATACACGAGAATCAACCAAAGAATACAGTAGATTTGTTTTTTTTCCCTAGTATTAACCAGAGTTAATAAGGACTTACCGAGGCCCAACTTTCTTGCTCTGGGTCTCAGAAGCTGCAGGATATATTAAAATATACATATATTACTTGAAGTACAGTTTTTAATTCATTTTAGTGACACCTTAATATTCACTATTTTCAAGGTATAAAAATATTTTAAAATGTACTTTTCATTTTTAGATAACATATAAAAATAAATTTATCTGTCAAAATACAGAAGAAAAAACATTATATTAAACAGATATTTGATCGGGTCATATTTAAAAACAAACTCCTTTTAAGCCTTTCTTAGTAGTTCTCCAGTAAAAAAAACAAACACCAAAATAAGAAGCACCATCTTAGTAACTAAAGGATTTCCCCAAATTCCGCTATCTGAAATAGTTATAAATCTGAACAACAGTCTCCCCAGCACCATTACTTGCAAGGAATGACAAAGACTAACAGCAAAGTGATTTACCAGACTTTTAGCACTGAATATAAATGTGCATATAGATAAAACCCATGAATAATGACCCTCTAACAATATTAACCTTTTAGGATATGAGTGACCAAGCTTTAAACCTTTGCCAAGTACCTTTAGGCATTTGGGGAGGTGAGGGTAGGTATTTAAGCAGTCATCTCAATATACTTCAGAAACAAATTTTAAATCTCACTTTCAAATCTTGGCTGATTTTGATGCATTATCCGAGAGGTCATAAGTAATGTAATTCAGAGAAGGATACGGATATGAAAGAGTTAGTAATTATTAGTGCTTCTGCTGATTTGTTATTTTGGTTTCTGGGTTTTTTTGTGGTTTTTTTTTTTCCTTTCTTTAATAAATAGTTAAATATGAACATTAACAAAAAACCCTCACTTTGATTCCTCATCTACTTCCTTGAACATGTTGGCCTCTCATTAAATTAACTACATACCATGTTCAGTAAGCATAATGCAGTAAGTGAGAAGCCTAGTGGAGTTATTTGGATGATGACTCCTGAGCACAAGTCAGAACAATGACTTTGCTCAGGAAACAAAGAAAATAATTTCAGCTAAAAAAGAAAAAAAAAAACCCAGGAAACAATGAAAATTCACCTAATGAAAAATCACATCTGATTTACACTTCTGCAGTAAAATCCGCATGATCTGATGGCAGTGCCTCCACATAATTCCACTCAAGTGTGTTTGGCTCAACACTGCTGCAGGGGTTGGTCCGCAGATTAAACTTCAAAATTAACTCTTAAGCAGTGAGGAAAGGTTGGCTAGCTATTTTAAGCCTTTTCTATTATTAGTATAAAAACCAGAAAAAAAAACCCCAAAAGACTCTAAACCTTCCTATATACATTGTTGTTAAAGTAATCTCTACAAATGCTACTTAACTCACAAATACTTTTTAAAGTCTTACATTTACGCAGTAATAGATGAGGAAAGTGTTAGACTGCTTAGAGCACAAAACTGTCAAACTCAGCATTGGGCTTTTACACTGTTCTACGATAAAGATTTTATTTAAAAAAAAGTGGCTTTAATGGCTCATAAAGACTAAATAAATGACAGTATCTTGTTGAATACAATTGATGGTTATATGGCAATATAGTAAACAGAAAAAAAGAGTTCTGTTACTGAGGAATGCAACTAGATGGATTAAAAATAAATCATAAGACCAGACTAGCTTTCATCTTTCCAATTTCCCTATTCCTGCAGTCACTTCAAATGAAATTAAAGTTTATCCTAACCTCATCTCTCCCTCAGGCATGCACACAGTACACTAACAACCACTATTCATTACTCAATAGCACACAGCAATACACGAAGTACTAAAAACATTTTGCAAACTTTAATTCATGATTCTGCATATTAGTTCATAACGCTGCTAAGCAGCTGCAGGACTATCACACTTTTACATTTGTCTAAAGCAGTGTGCAAAAACTTAAATAACTTGTTTAAGAATGTAAAGAAAGTGCAGAATCCAAGGACTCCAGTCTAGTTCTCTAAGGGCTTCAAATACTCTCCAATACAATAAAAATGAAAAAAATTCAGGATATACAACTCACTATTTTATCTGATCCATATATCTTTTCCAATTGTTCAGCAATTTCCTGTGTCCCATCCGGGCTGCCATCATCTATGATGATAATTTCAAAATTGTTTCCACTGAAATTAGAATTATTTTTAAATGAACATATGGAAAACGCAATTTCACTACCCATGTCATTTTGAAACGCATGAAACTGAAAAATAGAATACAAAATTATTTTCTGACAGATACATGCTATAGTTATTCTTAAAGCTATAAGACTGTGCTTGTAGTGATAAAACTTGACTCAGTGCCACTGTTTTGGGCCTCAAGCTGTAATTGCTTGACAACACGCTGCAGCCATATAAACCTCACCATTACCCCAGCATCAGTTCCAGCCTCACGACTAGAAAGATGAAAAGCTAAAATTACCTATGCGGGCAACTCTTTCTTTAGGAGCTGGTGCAGGACGGATCTCGCACATGCGAGACCTCCGATTAGAATAATTTCGTTTCTCTAATTAACCTCGGGAAGAGCTGCGCTCATTACTACGTGTTAGGTACAACTGGCTGCACGCCCTCCATCACTCGTGAACGATATTTGGTATTTCGCAGCACGGATAATGGTACTGCCTTCCTAAGTTGTGACGTCATTTTGTAAGTTTTACGGACGTGTATCTCCTAACTTTACCGGCAGCTATTAAGAACTTCCCAGCTCTATCAAAACCTCACACTGGGAGCGTTTAACCCCCGAGCCCGGTC